TCAACGAGAAACACAAATAAAAGTAATAGTACTGATCAGGAAATTTAATTATATTTCCTCCTTCAACAGGTGGCAAAAGTCCAAAGAATAAGCACAAAACATATTCAGAAATAACAGAAAGACAAATACTGAGTTCTTATCACCCAAACACATAATTTCATTATAAAAGCGAATGATATTTACCTTGTTTATGTAGTTTTATTGGATCTACATAACGAGAAATGAATTTTTGTGATAGCGGGGAATCCCCGAAGTGACGTCATTGTTGACGTCATGACAAATCGAACTGTGAGAAAATATAAACATAATCCTTAGAGCGCCTGTACTTTTAGCTATAACAGTGATATACACCTAACAAAAGAAGTTCATTAAAAAATCGCCAGTAAACCTAAAAAAAAATAAGAGAGCCTAAACATATAATATCAATATAATAGTTATTCTAGTCAGTCCATTTTCTTTAATAACTACTATCACTCCATTTTCTTTAATAACTACTATGTCCATTTTCTTTAATAACTACTATGTCCATTTTCTATGATATTACTATGGGTAACTATATCAAAGCCATTTGCCATATAGACATAAAGTGCACATACACATACACAGACGCGCGTATGCACACCCCCCCTCATTCATTTGCCAGTAAAGTCTCCCATGACTGAAAATACTTTAAATAACATTGTTTCGAATCAGTTGGTGCGTGTGCGTGTGTGTGTGTGGTGTGTGTGGTGTGTGTGTGTGTGTGTGTGGTGTGTGTGTGTGTGTGTGTGTGTTGTGTGTGTGTGTGTGTGTGTGTGTGTGGTGTGTGTTGTGTGTTTGTGTGTGTGTGTGTGTGTGTGTGTATGCATAGTAACCGGTTTCGATTCGCTGAAAAAGTGCTTGGGACAGAAGGCAGAGGGAGGAACAAAAATATAAAAGAAACAAAGAAAAAGTGTAATGAAGAACGTAACAGCTATATAACTATACAGAAAGATTTTTTTTTTCAATTATATTATAAGGAAGCGTTAATAGAAAAATATTTAAAAGGTACGAAAAAAGGAAGAACTAACAGGTATATAACTAACACATTGTTTTTTTATTTATATTATAAGAATAAGCATTAATAGAAAAAGTTACAAAGGTAAGAAGATATAGCGATAAAAATCTAGTCAGAGCTTAACAGAAAATCGTTAATTCAGCTGTAACCAGATAAGAAAATAATAAAAAAAAAAAAAAAATGATAGGAGTCTGGAATGAGTGTTTTGTTTGCAGTATCGAAGTCTGGTTGTAAACGGATTTCAGATCTGGTAACCTGCCTACCCATCAGCNTGTGTGTGTGTGTGTGTGTGTGTGTGTGTGTGTGTGTGTGTGTGTGTGTGTGTGTGTGTGTGTGTGAGCGTTTGTGCATGCGCGCGTGTGTGTGTTTCCTTCTGCCTGTGTCTAAGTAAACATCCAAGCCCGAGTGCACATGTGCGCCCCAAGTGAAAGAAAGTTCAAAGAAAGAGGGAAGAGGGAGAGAGCGGGTAATCCGTCAGTCACGGAGCGCCAGCAGATGCCGTGACTTGCAGCCTGCGAGAAAGCGGCAACACGTGCTATGCAGCCATTCAGCGCCCCCCCCCCGGCGCAGCGAATACCCGAGAGGACGGCAGCGGAAGCCGCCCTCGCGCCGCCCGGCCGTCAAGGGGCACATAAGGAAGGGCAGAGGCAAGGGCGTCGCAGGCCGACCTTGTCCCACATTGCGTCGACATCCCTTGTCCTGTCCCCTTGCAGGCGTTGTTAACGTGGCTGCCGACAACTTGACCTACATCCGCGCTGTTACCAAAACGTTGAGGATCCCTCGAACGCGGGAGACGACTGCAGGCTGAGCAAGGGAATCCTCCCTCCCTGACACGGCGGAAGTATTCCGTCCTTATAAAGTAGCCACAAACAACCGGAATCCTGCGAAGTGTATTCATCTTCAAGTAACCAGCCCGTGCACTATCGGATCGAGACTTGCCAAGCCTATTTCAAACCCGTTTCGAACGTCCAGGTTCATCCCACACTTTCGTCTAGGGCGAGACCGATTCGAAGCTTCAATTCATGCCACGTCCGTCGCCGTGCGGAGACTCCCTCCTCGACCCCGGCGCTAAGCCCTCCTCCAAACAACCAACGAGATGGATCCTCGCCTGGCTAACGGAACAATTAGGGATTCAGGTCGCCGTGATCGCCCGGAAAAGATCATGGAATGGAGTCCATCTGACGCAGGGAGGCGCCACTGGGTCACGGGGGAGCGAGTGATGCGCGGGCGGACGGCAGCGTGACGCCGGACAGGGAGATGGGCGGACGGAAACCGCGTCACGTGGTCAGAAACGCGGCAGAGGTGGGAGGGTGTGGGGGAGGGGGAAAGGAGGGGGGAGGCGAGGCATATGCACAGGAACTGGGGGGGGGGGGCGTTTCGTGTCTGGAGATCGCAATGCACATTTAGAGGAATCTAAAGATATGTGCATCGGAAGATATACTGCACCTCTTATTCCACCTCCAGATGTATACATATGGACTCGTATTTTCAATCATATCAAATACCTTTAGATATAGTGGACGCTATCACATTCACATGCAATATCTCTCTCTTTCCTCTCTCCCTTCCTCTCTTTCATCTCTTTAAACACACACACAACACATACACACATCACACACACAACACACACAATACACACATACACAACAAACACATATATATATATATATATATATATATATANTCTCTTCTCTCTCTCTCTCTCTCTCTCTCTCTCTCTCTCTCTCCCTCCTCTCTCTCTCTCTTTTCAACAGTTCTTTGTTTACGAGCATGGAGGTGAGCATGGTTATAAACCGCCTGATCATAAAGAGAGCGACCGGCCTTTCGTTGTTGTCTCCAGGTTGCACTCACTCAAGGATGCCAGGAAGGGGAAGATATTCTTTGTGTGTGTGTTCAAGTCTTTGTTATTATTATTATTGGCCTTATTTTGTGTTATTATCATGAATATGTTATTATCATTTTATTTCTTTTTATCATTCCTATCATTATTATCTTTAATGTATTTTATTAATACAGTGAGTATTTTCATTATATCTGAAATATTGTTTATCATTATTGTTATTGTTATCATCATTTTTGTCATTATAATTAGTATTAGCTTCATCATCATTGTTGCTATTTTCATTATCATGATAATTATGCTTATTTTCCGTTCGTTAGTCCGCAGGGCTTACATTATATGCCTTGAATCATATTTCACGTGACGGTTGCCTTCAAGACAATTGATCTTGGTGTAAAATGGGGTAATAACTGACAAGATAGATATCTGAATAATCACGCACACACGAATCATATTACATATCTACGAATACCGTTTTTAAATGAAACTCTCTCTCCCTCTCTCTCTCTCTCTCTCTCTCTCTCTCTCTTCTCTCTCTCTAATATATATATCTAGAATATATAATATATATACTATATAAATATATATGATTTATATATTATATATATATATATATATATATATATATATATATATATATATATATATATTATCTATTTATGTGTGTGTGTTGTGTTTGTTGTGTGTGCCTGTGTGTATGTGTGTGTGTGTGGTGTGTGTGTGTGTGTGTGTGTGTGTGTGTGTGTGTGTGTGTCTGTGTGTGTGTGTGTATAATAATTACTATTATTTTTAGTACAGTAGCATTATCATTACACTTACTTGAGGCAAGTGTATTGCACTGAAGTAATTACACCGGCAGTTTATGCACATATACCATATACAAGACATCTAAGGGGAGAGGTTAAGATGGAAGTTAAGAGGGAAGGGGGAAAAGAAGGAGGAGATAGAAGTGTGGGAACGGAGGGGATATGTAGGAGGAAGAGAAGGGTGAAGCGAGAAAACTAGGATCATTATCATCTTTATTGTTATTATCATTATCATTATCATCATTATTTTCCTTACTGTTATTATAATTATCATTATTATCATTGTTTTAATCGATTTTATCATTATCATTATTATCATAATTGTCATTATTAATTTCACGCTCATTTTATCATGTTTGTTATAATTATCATTAGTAGTAGTAGGTGTTGTACCAATAGTAGTAGTATCATGAATATCATTATCATCATTATTACTATAATCATTACTGTTATCATAATAATTCTCACCACATTATAATTATAGCTGATATTATTATTGTTATCAATATTACTATCATCATCATTATAAGTATCATTGTTATCATCATCGTAGTTACAGTCTTTATGATCATCATACTAATGATTCCAATGTCGGTTTTTCCTCCATATCATAATAACATCACTCAACCATTTTCTTGCTTTATAATAAACATGTCATCTAATATTACTGACCAAATGTATACCCATACTGGCCTGCACGTAATAAAGGAATAAGTGAGCATTCTTACTTATAAACAGGTTAAATTCTGAAGGATTATTGTCCTGATAATTAGTTTTTAATTACATCCTTTTTGTGGGATATATATGTTCTTGTTTAACTCCTTAGATATATATAAAGAAGATAGAGAGAGAAGGGGCGAGCAGGGGGAAGGAGAAAAGATGGATATACATAGAAAGACAGAGAGAGAGAGAGAGAGAGAGAGAGAGAGAGAGAGAGAGAGAGAGAGAGAGGAAGAGAGGAGAGAGAGAGAGAGAGAGAGAGAGAGAAGAGAGAGAGAGAGAAAGAGAAGAGAGGAGAGAAGAGAGAGGAGAGAGGAGAGATAGAGAAGAGAAAAAGAAGATAGATTAGATAGGTAGAAATAGATATAGAGAGAGAAAGAAGAGAAAGGAGAGAGAGAAGAGAGAGAGAGAGAGAAGAGAGAGAGAGAGAAGAGAGATAGATAGATAGATAGAGAGAGAGAGAGAGAGAGAGAAAGGTAGGTTTGCCGGTCTCGTGATTCCAAGAAGATATCATTAACATTTCTACCCAACCAAGTATACTAAATCAGTCACAAACATCAGATCCAACTTGCGAGAATTCCACCTCAAAGGAAACGCACGGAGGAAGTGATTTAAAGAAGGAAGGAGGATGCGAAGGTGAGAAAAACAAGATCGAAGAGGATGAAGCAAGTAAAA